AAGAATCAGCACATGCAAAGACATGGCCAAATGCAGAAAAAAACATAACGCACAGGAAGAGTGTGTGGAGAAACAGGATCATGACGGGTATGGAAGTTACGTTGAGGAATTTGAACTTTAATGCAAGGGCAGTCAGGAGCCATTGAAGTTTTAGACATGGAATAATTACCCAGGGCTTTCTGCTTTGAGGTCATTTCAAGATGGGCATCATCCACAATCCTGCCTCAAAAATGGAATGAAATTTCCTTTGCCACAGGAAGCTGCCCACCCCACACCTGACTCATCTGTACATAACCTTGGACCCTGTTCCTTTGACTGTCTAGCTTCCCTTACAAGGACATTTCCTCCTGCCAGCTCCATCCCCCACTGGTTCTTACTACTAAAGTGCAGTCCATGGATAAGCAACATACAAATCACCTATTAGCAAGTTCAAAATGAATAATCTCAGGTCCTACTCAAGACCTACTAAATAAGACTCTAAATTTTAACAAGACTATCCAGAAGTCGTGTACATACCAGAGTACGTTTTCATGCACTAAGGCAGGTTTCATTACTGAACCTGTCTGCATTGCCAGAAAACTGCTATCTCTTGTGCACCCAGTCTTTATGGAGGAGAGAACAGGAGTGTGGAAGGAAGCTGGCATACTTGAGGGTCATGCCCTAGGTTGATACCTAAAGCTGGGCTAACCACATTCCATGTTGTTTCATTTTATCTTATAGTAACTTTGCAAGGTGAGTAGTCGAATGCTCATCTGACAGAGAAACTGAAGTGCAGAGAGTTGTCACACAGCCAGGAGCATTTAACCTCATTACGTGTCCTCTTCTCCAAAGCTCTTCATGAACCCCAGAAGAATAAACCCACCGTCTCTACCTATTCAAAAAATAAGGCCCCAACCCAGAAGGGAAAGAGACTTGCCAATTTGTCTATCACCTACCAGCCTGGAATGGCCACCTTCCCACCTCAGCCAGCTCATCATTCAGCTCAAATGCAAATGTTCCCAGACAGAGTTAGGGCTCTCCCTGTGTCCTTCAACCCCCAGCTTGCCTTTTCCTCCTGTGCACATACTGCAGTTAGATTTCACATTCCCATCTCACACCTGAGTTCCAGATTCTCTGTCAGCACAGTCCTATCTCAGGGAGAGAAATCAAACAGCTGAAGGCAGCCTGCTTTTAGAGAGGGGAAGAGAAGGGAGGTCGATTCGACATAACTGCCTAACAAAGTATATTTATGAACATCATTGGAACGAATGTCTCCAGTAACTGCAGCCATCACCTCCTAATGTCACATCATGGAGACACTGGAAAACAGATAGGGCTTATAACCTGATTTCCTATCATCTGGTAACAGCTTCAGCACCTCCAGCCTTCCCAGCTAGGCAGTATATGACTCACGCTTCCTTTCTAACTTCCAAGGCACTTTGGGACAAAAAGGAAAAGTAAATAAGTAAGACAATTTTTCAAAATATCCATTTCATCAGTAGCCTGTTTCTTAATGCGTCTAGGCATTTGATCACTACAGATGGTCTAAAAGGTGCTAAAACGAATTGCTAGGGACTCAAAATCCTTGAAAATTGGTCTAGCAGGGGGAGAAATACAATCATGTTAATCTGGAAAATTCAAGCTATTTTCTTAGAACCCTAATTTTTCTGACTTTCTTGGCTGTCCCCTTCTCTATACTTTTCCTGTGTTCCTAACTCAGATGTGTCCTCTGTCTGCCCCTTTCTCTGCATTTTGGTCACTACAGCCCTTATTGAGTGTGCTGCTCCCTCCTTCTCCTCTCATTTGCTGGTCTCCTGACTCCTGACTCCAAGCTCCTTTCTCTCCAATCTGCCTTCTGCTCTTGATTACCATTATGTACATAATGTATATAATGAACTATTTGGTTCCTTGACCTCAAAGTGTTCACAGTCTAGATGAGAAAAGAGAACATCAACAAAATATAAACAAAAACAAACCTCTTATTTTTCAGTCTGCAGAACCTAGCATAGAACACACAACACAATACTGTGGAAGGGAATTCTCTTTCTCCTAGGATACACTTGTTGCAATAAAGTAAAACAAACATGTAAGCTGAAAGTTTCTCCTGGGCAAGGGATGGTAACTGAAACTGACTTGTTCAACCCTCTTATTTTAAATTGGAGATGTGTACAATGTCATTGGCATTCTCTTGACTGGGCATACCATTTGTACTGAATATGAAAATGCATTGAAAATGCTTTCTGGCAGTCACTGCAACCTCAGTCCTCTAAGGACTTAACTTATTTTATATAGTTTATACTTTTTTTTTTCTTATACTGACTTAGGATCTTTAACCATCATCAAATAAGAAAACAAGAATGGAATGACCACAGACATTTCCTGGAACCTAACCCTATAGGCAGAGGCAGTCTGCTGCCCTTACACATATTTTGATCAAGAAATATGCCCTAAAATGCTTTGAATGCCGTGCAGGTCCCCAGCAGAGGAGTCTTAAACCCAGCTCCAGGGAAGCTAGACCACATCCCTGCTATGCCCTGTCAAGCTGCATCTACTGAATTAGGTTAGGAGTTAAAATGTTACACAATGTGACCAATGGAATCAGAAGCAATAACATGACCTGTCAGCCAGTGTTTTCCTGACAATTCTGGGGTAAAGAGATTGGCTGCTAGAGAGCTGTGGGGGCCGGGAGGAGGGGAGGAAGAGCTGGTGTGGGAGATGGGGGGAAAGGGCTATTTTGTTCCTTATTTACAAAAGTGGTGCTTGGTAGGGAGAGAGTGGTAAATTGACTTTATTTCCATAGTCTTATTTTAGAGTTTTGCTTGAAGGCTGCAAAACCAAAAGCCTTTTCTTGTAGGGCAAGAGTTGCAAAACTCTGCATGAAGCATTTCATGAGCTTGAAGGTCTCTTGGGAGCAGGGCCAGAAAGTAAGATCTGCGAGGGCCTCTGTTTTATCAGGCTGAGGAAGGGTCACCTCAGCCAACACTGTGCACAGACAAGGCCAAGAAATGCAATTGAAGGTTGTGGACACCTGGCGCCAGCTGAGAGGTGATTGAATCCTGGCTTGTATTTGTTGGCATCGGGGTGCAGAGCTGGCCTAAGCTTGTAGCACATGAATTCCCTAATTTTTTGGCCAGGAAAGAGGGAAAGAGACGCAGCTCAGTTCCTGTATGAACTGTGTAGAAACTACCCTTAAGTGTGTCTGTTAGGAGCGATTTATAGACACACAACCAACAGCTATTTCAATGTAGAAAATTTAAAAAAGAAAAGGTTCTATGAAAAGCAACCTCACTGGCTGAGAACTCTGATAAGTTCCACATTTGCAAAAAGTCATTGCCTGAAATTCCTAAGCATTAACTTCCTAGAGCTCTCTGTCCCAATGCTACAAATTTAAGTCTTTGCGACACACACTGACCACATATATAGGACCAAAGAGGCAACTGAAGGTCTTTCCTTAATAGAGTTTTTATTTGGTCTCTCTGTTGCTTGAAACCTGGACCACTCTCAAGGACTTTGGCTTGGAGCTCCATGGTGTGGCTACCCAGATGAAATTTCTCTCTTTCTGTCTAGCCTCATAAAACCTGATTTCTGCCTTTTCCTTCTAGGCAAACTGGATCCCAGAATTCAGATGTGTATTTTGCTATCCAGATCTCTGTGATGGAAAACTCTTACCCAAGTCCATTACCTTACCTTGGAGGCTTCTGACTATGATTCACATATTGAATCTCTCCTTCCATAAACTGGCTTTTCTGATTTGAAAGATCAGCTCTGAGGCTCTCTGCCTCAGCTTATCTTATTCCTAAAGCACACAGTAAGTGCTCAATGAATATATTTTTTAAACCAACTTTACACTTTCTTTTCTAGACCTAGTAGAGTGGTCATGAAGTGGTTTTAGCCTCCTGGATTTATAAGAGGAAGACCAGGTCATCCATATGCCCTTTCACTGAGGACAGTTTCTGCAGAAGAGAGAGCAACTTCCTGAGCATTCTGGCTAATTTATCAAGCTTATATTAACGTGAGTTTACCAGGTGCCTAATCAGGCTTAAATTATCTAAAGGTTATCATGTTGCAAGCCTAAACTATCTGGTAAACTTGGGCAAAGTGCCTTCTTACATGTGAGAACTATTAATAAAGCACTTCTAAGAAATACAATCAACAACAATAAATACTTTATCCATATGTTGGAATCACAAATGGAAATTATGACCCTTAATTGTGGTTGTGCACATCATCCAGGTGGCAGAACACCTGGAAATCGTGCTGCTCCTTAAAACACGATGATCGTGGCAAAGTTCTACTAAAAATGACACAGTTAATCCCAATCTCTGAACTAGGTATAATTTTTATGAACAGAAAATATGACTAGATTGCTGAATATAAATGCAACAGAAAACCAGAACAAAGTATTCAAATCTATTAAAAATAAATATTATGACCTAATTGTGGTCAGCTATTTCTCTTTCCATTAACATCATTTGCTACTTTTTTATTGATTTGGTCATTGACAGGTGCATGTGGGAGGCCAAATAACAACCAGTCACAAAGGCTCAAGAAAAAACTGGAGAAAAAAAGTTGTAAAATGAGAAAATGTTCTCCGTTAATTTATTTTTTATTTTATTTTTTTTGGTCAAAAGAACATTTTTATGTTATTTGACTTTTTTTTTTTTTTTACAAAGGAATGCTTCAGAAAAAGTGGAGAAATAGCAATACTTGCTGCCTTAGATTAAGAAAGTGCTTCATAAAGAAGAAAACAAATCCACTTAAGCCAAAGCAATCATACGTTTAATGCTGGTCACCTCTACCAACTTTGATGAAACAGAGATCTGTTGAGAATGCTACTTTCAAATTCACAGGATTTTTCTTAAGACAAAAGAGAAAAGGACACTAATTTCTCAGTTCTTGCTCTTCCCCTCCTACCTTGCACATCAACATGTTGCTGCAAACCACAACACCTGACCATATGAAAAAAGTATAAGAAAATTGTATTACATGTGTGTGTATGCATTCATATGTATACTTTTTACCTTAATTAGACATGCCCATCAATGTCCAAGAAGAACGTTACTCAAGCTGTCTTGGGAGCAGCAATACTGTTTATCCTGAAAACAAGAAAACACAGAAAAATATGTAATTCCAAGATTGTCTGCTTTTAAATCTGGTGATTCACAGTTTACAGAAGGGTATGGGAAAATGAACAAGGGCTCTTCACTGTTTACCTAAAAGCCAAGATAATCAGTAATAGACTTTGTTTTTCTGATCTTTGTTTTAAAGATTTCTAAGAATATAGGCTGGTGGTTTTAGAATTAGACTTATATCAAAACCACTCAAGCTGGTCAAGTACTGTCTCCTGGAAAAGAGAGAAAAGGGACTCCTGTGTCAAAAATGTGTTGGCCAAATTATCTAGTTGCTCAGAATTTCATTTTCCCCATCAGTAAAATAAGAGCACTAACACTTACTCCATAGCTCTGTGACAAGAACTAAGTAGGAGAAGATGTACAAAGCTTCCCACACAACATCCCATACATAGTAGGTACTGAATCCATTTTAGGGTTGGTTCCTTTCCAGTACCCCTCCCCACAACCCTTTTCTTCTTTTGTTAATACTTTCAGTACCTTATCACAGTGTTAGCTCCATGGTGTTTGAGAAAACAAAATATCATAATGACTTCAAAACAACTATTTTAAAAGTGGAAAAAAGAAATGATAATCAAATTCACATTTAATAATAAGAACAGCTAAATGTACTGAGTATTTCCTATGTGCTACCCCAAGAACTAATACTTGCCTATGTACTAATCCACGCATGTCAGCTGTTTCTTTAATCCTTGCAACAACGATACAGAGAAGGTGATATTAGGAAACTGAGGGATGGAGAAGTTAGCTTCCTTTGTTCAGATCGCACAGTGCCTGGGAGATGGAGCTGGGATTTGTGTCTTTGCAGCCTCATCTCCTGGCCTGTTCTCCTCAGCATCCACCCTGCTGGCTCACCATACTCAACACCACGGGACAAGCATGTGCTCCAGATGATGTCACACACTCCGTTAGATCTTCCTTCCCTTCTTTCTCTTTTCCTTCCCTCCCTCCTTCCTTTATTACTCCTTCCTTTCCTTCAACCTTTATTTTAAATTTGAATTCACTATTTCACTTATTTTTTTGTTTTGCTTTGCTTTGACAGATCAGGACAAGATATTGGTCATTTCAGTATAACTGGGTTCTTCTTTGGAGTGAAGATTTTTTCTAGCTTTGTTGTCTTAGATGACTTACTGAATTCCTTTGAACTTTTTTTTTCCTCTGTGAAATGAATGCATTAGACAAAGTGATGTTGAAAGGCCCTTCCTAGCTTACTTGTCCTCTGACTGGCTACTTTGGAAGCAGTTTAGATCATGCTGGTGTTGAGATCTTCATGCATGTATGAGAGTTGTGGACTCTAACAGCAATTTGCTTGCTTTAGCTAAAGGTAAAATTTCAAATTGCCATGAAGAGACACTTATATTTATATGCATTCTTTAAAGTGCTTGCAAATGGGGAAACTGAAGTTCAAAGACATTGAGTAATTCACCCAAGGTCACTCAGAAGTGGCAGAGTCAAAATTCATATCATACAAGCTTCTGTATCTTCAAAGCCCATATCCTCTGCGGTATCCCAAGCCGACCAGAAAGTATTGTACATAAAGTTATTGACCTGAATTACTCGTTTTTGAAATCTGACTCAAAATTTAGGGTGATAATAACTATCATGTGTCATAAGCTCATTCTGTGCCAGCCAATATCAGAGCCTTACATATATCTCATTTAGCCCTCCTACTGAACCAAATGTCAGGTACTATAATTACCCTCTTTTGATACATGAGGAAACTGAGTCACTAGGACTAACACTATTTGCCCAAGTCATGGAACTAACAAGTAAAAGATCTAGGATTTGAACTAGGAACAACTAAAATTTGGCAAAGTTCATGGTTTATTATCTTGACTGGCATATGGCAATCATGTTGCAATTTAAAGTTAATAAGCTGCAATTGTGAGTACTGGAAGAAAAACTTGGAGAAGGTTAGTGTATGTGAGAGTGAACCACAGGACAGCCTTGTCACTTAATAATTCACAGACTCCAATGAAGAAGAAGAGAAGGATTTTTTAAAAAGGACTGCTCAGGGATTGTTGAAAACCTGCCTCCTGAACTGTTTCCCCATGAAAATTGCCAGCTTTTGTCATTCAGTCTGACAATGAGAAAAAAAAAAGACAAAGTGAATTTCAAGGGACATTGTTTGTCAGTGAGGCTTGCAACGTCCTTCACACATTAGGGAGTCCGGCTGACGTGCTGTCCCACCTTGGCTGGAGGAAAACTGAGCTCCAAGGAGAAAGCAGGTAAAGCAAACAGCAAACGAGGAAAAGGAGCTCTGTTTATTGAGTTGGGTCCAAATTCACCGAGAAAAATGACTTCCAGATGCATTTCAAACACAGCAACATGATTAGGATGGAGAAGGCAGTCAAGTCTATTTGGCTTCTGCAGGGGATTTGTTTGTATATTCTAATTGCATCATTGTTTAGCTTTATTTCATCTGGAACCTGGCTGCCAAATGAGCGTATTGATTACCTGTCATGGATGCATATTTCTCAATTAAAAGCCATCAAGGCTTGTAAAATCTCAACCATGTCAAGACCAACGAGTGGATTTTAGTACTGCCGTTAGTACTCACATTAGTCCCCTTCCACTGAACAGCAGATACAAGCTTGGCACCTTACATATGATGGCTCATTTAAATGTCACAACCTCCTTCAAAGTAGATGTCGTTATTTTCTATCTTTGTAATGCGGAAGCAGAGGCTCAGAAAGATTAAAAACCTTGCCCAAGACCACAAAACTAGTAAGCAGTGAAGGAAGTATTTGAACCTATATATGTCATATTCCCATTCCACAGGGCTTTCTGCTACACCCAGGCGGTAGAGACTGCATGTGAAGTGCTGTTCAGGGCAACCTGAACAGTTAGTTCTGTCATTCACTAGCTCTGTGATGTTGAGCAAGTTTCTTAATATCTCTGTGTCTGTGTCCTCATCTGTAGAATCAAGGAAATAACACACAGTGCGGTTGTTAGAACTAAATGAGCTACTATATGTATAGCATGTAAAAATAATACAGCATGTAGACCATTATTTTTTCATGCTCTGGATACTGTGAAAGACAAACTAAATTTTTGACCTTCAAAACTTGCTGTAGGCACTTTGTACTTCCAAAGACTTTGCAACAATTCAATTTTCCTCACAGCAGCTCAGTGTTTTGGGTCAGATCACTGTCTCTCACTCTCAGACTGAGACGTGAGGAGCGACTGTGCCGAAATATTTTCAGTGTACTCAGTTTCTGATTCACCTGATCACACCTCAATAAACAGATAATGAGACTGTTTATTTGTATATTCTACATACCTTGAAATCTTAGGTCTACTCCTCACAACAACTGCACAATTAGGTGCTATTATCTTTATTACCCAAATAAAGATGATGTAGACCATAAAATCAATATGATCCTCCCAAGTACACGTAGCTGGTAAGTAGCAAGGCTTAGATTTGAACCCATATATGAATGTCTCTCAAATGTGTGTGCTTGCATTCAAATTGTGATACTTAAACCATTAATTTCTCCTTGTCTCCTTGGTGAACAGTTCCTCATCTATTCGGATTAACCCATCTATGACTTTCCTTGATGTTCACCTATTGCATATGTATTTTATGAAGTTGTATGAACAGTTGTATGAACAGTGTTGTATGAACAGTGATGAACGCAAGACATGGTCTCTGCTTTCATCTCTGTGTCTCAATGTCCTCATCTGTTTTCATGAAGCTTACAGCTTAAAGAGGGTAATAGACAAGTACATACTTGAAAGATCCTGAGAAGAAATAAAATAAGGGTGACAGGGTGGAGAAAATTTAGGGCAACAGGGCAGTGGATGGCGTCGGAGCTCTCTGAGGAAATGACATTTAAGCTAAGATGAAGGATGAGAAGAAGGTAATATGTGAGAATGGGGGAGGGGTTCCTGGCAGCAAGAGGAGTGTGTGCCCAGAGCCCGAGACACAACAGGTGCATGGGAACCAGAAGAAAGCTTGTGTAGCTAGGAAAAAACAAGAAATAGGAGGTGGAGTTAGGGTGGGGCTCAGTGGAAGTGGTTTGAGAAATGGTCTGGGGCCAGAATATTCGTGATCTACTGAACCACAGGGAGGCATTTGGGTTCTGAGTCCTACAGAGCCTTGTGTAGCCCTTGTTGGTAGTCATTATCATATTGCATTGTCATCCTATGCTTATCTGTCTGTTTCCCCCTCCAGACCATAAGCTTCCTAAGTGCCTAGGCCAGTGTTCAAGACAAAGTGGGCATTCAGCAAATTAAACAAATTAATGGAGACAATTTTATAGCACAGTGATTGTGTAAGATACTTATCGAAAGATAAACATAAAAAGGTTAGAGTAAATAAACTAGTATTTTTGTTCCTCAATGAGAAAGAAAAATCCTGGCTAAGAATAAATTTTATTATATATACTTATTTATATTATGTAAGAGTTGATAGGTTCATGAACATTAATAATGTTAACCAACATTAGTAGCTTGGCACTAGGCTCACTGCTTTATATGTATTTCATTTAATTTTCATGATAATAAATATGAAGCAATTACTGTTAATCTTCATTTAGCAGGAAAAAAAAAACCCTAAAAAACAAAATTTGGACAGAGTTCAAATAAATTATATAGGGTAGCAAAGATGATACTGACAGTGCTGTGATTCAAATCCAGGTATTTTATTCAAAGTCTACATATGTAAAAACTTTGTAACTTTAAACTATCTCTCATGAGTTTATCCTTGAATATTTTTAAATTAAAAAAATATAAACACAATAGTAAAAGTCCTAGTTATTGAACTGAAATGAGTAGTAGTAAACATTAAAAAAGAAACTAATGAAACTTTTAATAATAGTAACTGGTTAATAAAAAAGGTTTGATGGAATTCTGTATAAATGATTAAGAAAACAATAAAGAAAAAGGAAAGCACTCAATGCATTAGGATGGTGTTTGCAAAGGTATTTGTTTCAGTTTTCTTGTTTTCATAATGTTGCTGGTATAGTACACAAAAATTAGCAGAAAAGGGAAGTGATGGGAGGTTTAATTTTTCTAAGAGTAACAGATGAACAAGATGGATAAACGAGCCAATATTTGTATTCTTCACACTTTTTCTATTACTATTCCCAGTTGACTGTGTCTAGGCCTTCTTCCTCCCCACTGCCCACCCCCGACTCCCATTGTGTGAATAACTCCTATTCATTCTTCAACATCCAGATAAAATAGCTCTCAGTCTGGAAAGCCCTTACCTGGCCGCCCAGACTTCCACCACACTACATCCATTTCCTTTGTACGGTTTATAAAATGTTATAGTACAAACTAATTATTCTGCTTTATCATTCTCTCTAAATGCAGTGAGGGAAGGAAATAGAAATAGGTAATTATTCAAATATATAAATACTGATTTAGACACTTTGGTTGAATCACTGCATTGATCATAACAGCCTTGTTGCATATACACTTTTATGCCCATTCTACAGATAGGAAATGGGAAAGCAGGCTCAAAAAAGGGAATTTGCTCATGTCAGTATTATTTATTTATTTATTTATTTATTTTGGAGATGGAGTCTTACCCTGTAGCCGAAGCTGGAGTGCAGTAGTGCAATACTGACTCACTGCAACCTCCATCTCCTAGACTCAAGTGATTCTCACACCTCAGCCTCCCGAGTAGCTGGGACTACAGGCCCACGCCACCATGCCTGGCTAATGTTTTGTATTTTAGTAGAGACGAAGATTCACCATGTTGACCAGGGTGGTGTCCAACTCCTGAGCTTAGGTGATTCACCCACTTCGGCCTCCCAAAGTACAGGTGTAAGCCACTATGCCTGGCCTGATTTAGTATTCTTCAGGA